ACCAAGTCTATAACATCCTAATCTCTTTGCAGATCAGAGAAGATACACAGAAGGGGGTATACGTGGAAAAACTTTCTGAACATAGTGTGGGAACTATCGGTGATGTTTCTCAAGCTTTTGTTACAGGTGGGGTTTGTTCAAACGTGTACAATTACAAACTATCTTAGCGCCAAACGTGGCTTAATTTTAACACAAGCCTGATTGAAAATTGATCCAATATTTAGGAGGGTTTATAATATATTGGACTTATTAGAAATAAACTGGCTGACAAATAAGCTAGGAAGAGGAGCTTATTCAAGTTACGGAAGAGCTTATTCGGGGACCAACATGGGTGTGTCAAAGAATTTATTGGGACAGCTTCTCTCTCCTTTTCTTTTTCCTCCGCTGCCATCCGCCGCTTCTCTCTCTCTTCCCCCGTCCCCCCCCCCGTTTCTCAGCCTCCAATATCCAATGGCTTGCTGACACGCTAAACCTCTCCCCTTTCTTGCTCTTAACACGTCTTTCATCAATGTCACGGGACAAAAGACAAACTTGAAAAATAGTAGTATTTCTAGTATTTTTGCAGAATTGATTTATTTTAATTCACTCATTAAATTTCACTTATTCATATTAAATTAATTTAAATTCATTATGTTATGTACATTCAATTTTTAATCACAATTCACTTTATATTTAAAATATTTTTTATTATTTCTCTAAAGTTTTAAAATTTAATTCACTCATTAAATTTTACTTTTTCATATTAAATTAATTTGAATTCAGTGTATTATGTTAAATCATTTTTTTAATCATCTTTTATTATTTATTAAAACTCATACCCATTTTGGTAATTTTATAAACAAATTTACTTTTACTCAATCATAATCTAAACAATTTTTTTACCAATCTTACTTTTACAAACTAACTTTTTTAAACTCCAATCTAAATACAATTCAGGTTATCCGATTTAACTTTTACCCAATCTTATTTTTCTAAAAATCAGATTGAAAATAAGCTACCTTTTTCACTGTCAATCCAAACGGACTCTTAATTAAAATCATAGGTTGGTGCCTGACCATGTATGGCATGCTCACATCATCCTAAATATTATCCACAGTCTTTAATATAAGACATAGTTAATTGACTAAACGAGTATATGAGCATCTACTCTTCTATTAGGTTAAACCAGATGAATGTGAAACTTTTTTCTGGATCTCCTCTATTTTTAAATTCATATGAAAATAGAGAACAAAAGCAGACCTTTTTGTAATAGTGTTAGTTGATTAATTTGAGAAAATGAAAGAAATTAAAAAATTAGGCAGTTATGGTGTGACGACTGTTCTTTCAAAACCCATTTAAATTAAATCAAACAATTTATTCAAAAGATTAACCATGATAGAAAAGAAGAAATCTTAAAATTTAAAATCATTATCATAGTTAAAAGAAATAAACTTATATCACAAGCAACATTGATCATTAACTTAGGCCTTGGACTTCCAAAATCCAGAAATATCATTAAACTATTAGCCCAAACCAAACTCATACCTTTAAATGTACTAACTGATAAATCATTTTAATATAAACTATAGAGTCCATTAGTCAAAAGTCAACACTTTAAAAGAGTGTCACATGCTGAGTCTTACAAGTCTCTAGCCTTCTAACGACCCTCTCATATCAGATAGTAGTAATTAAAAATATTAGTTTACAACATTAGAGTGGATAAGCTTTATGTAGCAATATATAATAAATAAGCACATAGAACAAAAGCAGGGAGGCTATACAACCTATAACAGCATGCTATACCTCCGAAGCCTTTCCTGATGGGCCACCACCTGAACTATCACCTAAAGATAATAGAAACCACGGGGTGAGACAAACACCTCAGTAACCAGCTTTCCAACTCACTATACATACTAACATGTGCTTGTGAAGTGTCAAGTGAGACAATTAGTAAATCTCAAAAAATATAGATATATCAATAGATATATAAAAATATGTAGATTCAGATAATCTCAATCATCCAAATCTTCATTACGGGGGCTAACACATAAGTCACATAAGTCTATCCCTCACTATAGGGGATCAATCAGACATATAAGCCTATCTCACACATTAAGGGACGAATAAGAAGTCACAAAAGTCTATTCCTCACTTTAGGGATGAAGGAAGCCAACCAATGTGTACTAGTGGTGGCCTTACCACGTGGGAGGATATGGCTCAATTCAAAATCCAAATAACAATCAATTATTCATAATATAATGAAAAATGTCTCACTATTTTATCAGTTCTATAAGATATAAATCATATATTTTTCCAAACCAGTCATTCACAATTCCAAAACTCCCAGAAGACAACTTTCATAGCTCAAAAGGTATAACATATTTACTCGAGTTCCAAATAACACGTTATTATTCTAAAATAGCAAAATACTCACAAATAACATATTAGCACATATAACAAGTGGAAAGTGGTTACCTCTTGCCAAAGCAATAAAAAAGATTACCACAAGGTTAATCATTTACTCAACCAATAATTAATCTACACAATTAATAACAACATATTAATATAAGCTAATTAATTAATAATTGAGCTTATATATTATTTAAATTTCTAATTAAATTAAAATAAATTAAACTTTTATTTTAATTTCCCACAGCTTTCATAACCCAAAATTAAGTATTTTATAATTGACTTATAATTTTCTAACAAGCCAAATTATTTATTTACATCCTCCAAATTATTTACTTTAATAAAAATAATTTTTTCAAAATTTCTAAATATCAAATTATTATATTCTAAATTCTAAGAAAAATATCATTTGAAATTTAAATCTCAAAACTGAACCATAAAAAATTCAATAATACTTCAAATATTTATAAATAAATAATCTAATTAAAATTTTAATAGTATAACTATCATATATATATATATATATATTTCATAAATAATAAACTTTTTAGCTAAAATAATTATTTTAAAACCTCTATTCATCCAATAAATAAAACTAAACTAATTAAAATCTCAATAATATGTCAACCAACCCAAATAATTTACTTAACTTAAATTTAATTGGCAAAAATAAGATATAAATCATATATAACAGATTTTTCAACTAGAAAAATTAATTTAAGTACTAAAAACCAACAAATAGACAAATCTAAACCGATTAAAATTAATAACTCATTTATTTCTAAATTTCTATGGTCATCTTTTATCAAAACTCAATACTTATATCATATATAAGTCTAGAACAATTTTCTAATCAGTATAGTAATACTACTATTAGGAAGCGTAAAATATATAGAAAATATTCATGAAGAAAGTTTGATAAAAAGAAGTAATTTTATATACCTAAATTATCTTCAAAACTTGTTCTCTCTTTCACTGGTGTGCTCCTCTTTCTCTGTCATGTACTATTTCTCTCTTCCTCTTTCTCTCTGCATACACCTCATCTTCTGCGTCCCCTCTCTCTTTTATTCTTCACTTTTCCAACCACTCATCTCTCATTTTCTTCTTGCATTTAATCCTCCTCCCTCAAAGTCTTCCTTCTCATTTCCATGTCTCAGCTTTCCACCGAATTCCCCCTTTTTTTAAATATATATTAAAATATTATTATTTTATTATAATAATAAAATATTATAATTTTTTTATTATATTTTTTGAAATTTTTTACTAAATCCTAAAATAAAATTTAAGATATTACATATGGCATATGTTATATAATTTCTTTAAAATACTTATATATATCATTAGATTATATAACTGCAAAAACACATGTGATTAGCGATAAAATTTGATGACAAAATTTTTATTTAGTGATAGAATTAGCGATGGATTAGCGACGGAATTGAATTAGTGACAATTTGTTCCGATACTATTTCTTTTGTTACTAATTGGATTAGTAATGGAATTTCAATTCTGTGGCTAATCCCTAGATAGATAAATAAGTGATTGAAGAAGACTATTCGGTGTTGTAGCAAAAGATGTGTCTTTGGTGGTACCAAGTTTGGGAATCTATTCCCAGCAATTTAATCAAGCTCTATTCTTGCCATCCAAATCCCAAAAAAAAAAAGGGATAAATAGGTGACCGGACTTTTTTTCCCCCAAAATACCTAGCTCTCTGGACTAAGCGCATTATTCACAATCAAATATATTCAACATAGCTAACAAGAATTGGTCCAATTAGTAAAAAGTCAGCTTATAACCCATAAGATTATCATTTCAAATTTCGTTGCGGATGTGAGGACATATTGATGGATGATGTGTAAGTATTTTTGTAAGTGTTCTTTGAACCTAAAGACATATCTTGATTCTGATGAGCCCCCAAGACCCACGAGTTTAATCTCATTTATAACTAAGAGGGTGAGAAAGAAGAGAAACCAAGGGACAAGTGTAAAGTGTCACCTTTTTAATTTATAAATAAAAATTCGCGAGTTTTATCTCATTTATAACATAGTGTTGTTAGTGTCTACTTTTTAAAATAAAAAAGCAATTCTTAATTCTTAATTCACTAATGGTTTTTGCACCAATATAATTTCAATGCTTAAATTGATTAAAAAAGTTTGGACTTGAAGTTTAATTTTGGTTAGGTTGCCCACCCGCGTGATAAGGGATAAGGGGCTACAAATACTCTGTCTCAATATTCGAAGTTCAAATATATTTGAAAACTTAATAAATGTATTACTATAATAAGTGAATGATAAATTAATGTTTTGATGGTAAGGTGACGGCGAAATTTTGGGTGAGTAACCCCCATAAAAAACTAACCTAGATCTAATAAATAAATAAATAAATAAATAGCTATATTACTATAATGACCAGTTGAACCACGCAACCAAGTACCAACTATAAAATTAGACAATTTAATCTTTTTTTAAAAAAAGTCATTTAATAATTTAAAAAATTTACTCACATGAAGCTGCTCTACTCTCCCTGGTCGTTATAAATGAACGCCCGGATGCTCTTTAGCAACCAACCAAATAAATCATCTCCTGAGCTTTAATTTATATATTCCATATATAATGAAGCCGCCAGATCTTTCATTCACAGTGCGTCGGCGTCATCCAGAGCTGGTCGGTCCGGCGAAGGCGACGCCACATGAGGTGAAGTTTTTGTCGGACATCGACGACCAAGGTATGCTTCTTCGATTCCAAATGCCGTTGATCCAGTTGTATCGTGGCAATCCTTCGATGAGAGGAAAAGATCCCGTTGAGGTTATCAGAAAAGCTTTAGCCGACACTCTGGTGTTCTACTATCCCTTCGCCGGCAGGCTCCGGGACGGGCCTAACCGGAAGCTCATGGTGGACTGTAATGGCGACGGCGTCATTTTCATTGAGGCCGATGCCGATGTTACTCTAGAGGAATTTGGTGATCTTCATCCTCCTTTTCCGTGTTTAGAAGAGCTTCTTTACAATGTCCCAGGAACTTCAGATATTCTTAACACTCCACTTCTCCTTATTCAGGTATCTTCTCTTCTTCCTTTTCAATATTATCTCCGGTCCTAATTATAAGACCTTATTTATAATATACAAATAAGATTTTATAATTAAGACTATATTATGCAGATATATAGTAATAGTCTTCTAAGTTTTGATATTACATGTATTTTATTTTCCATCGACTTGGGTCCGTGTAAAATCTTCTCAGATCAGAAGTTCGATGATATAAATAAATAAATAAATATATATATATATATATATATATATATAACAAAAAAGCTTCTTGGGCGGATTCTCATACAATTCCCACCATGTGCTCATTGCTGTCATAAAATCTGAGTCATTCAAAACCTAACGTAAATGATGTAGATTTAAAATTTTTAATATGCAATTTTTTTAATGGTACATTCATTTTTTTAAATTTGAATTTTTATTATGTTTTAAATAATTTTTTATTCTAATAGATACAAAATTGAAAATGAAGATAATCATATATTTATCACTTCCCGGTACATGGCCAAAATATCAATTTCAATACGACAGAAGGTACACACAATTTTATAGTACTTGTTTGATTGAGAAAAATATAGTCCTTAAATTCTAAATATAAGACTCATTTTGCAATATAACTTATATTATAAAATAAGTCTTGCATTTAGGATCAGAGGAATAGTTTTTTAACAAATTTTTATTATTAATATTGTTAATAATTTCCAGCTGTTGGTTAGATACTATAGATGCACACAAAATCCAAAAGATGTTCCTCTTCTAAGTAAAATGTCGCAAATTCAATGCTTATGCTCTCGGCCTATTAGTGTTCGATCTGACCTTTCAATTTAAAAAAGAAAGTGCACACAAAATTATTTTAATTCCTTTTAGCGATGACTAAAATGGGGTGGGGGGGGGGGACAAAAGAAGATCTGTGATCCAAATAAAACGGAGAGCTCAGGGACACTAATTATTATAATTATTGGGGAAGAGCTTGCCTTATACTTTTAAAACTATTGCTTTAAAATTTAAACCCCAAAAAGCTCGATTATAAAGAGTCAAATTATCGATTGGGTCTTATTAATTAATAAAAATTCTTTGATTATATAATTTGCTTTAAGTGGGTTGAAGCATTTTGAGCATGGAACAAAAATTAAAGATCCATATTTCCATGGCTATATTAAGTTATTTTAAGTATATTATTACAACTTGCTGCGAAGTATTTATATAAGATCTAAATAGGAAAAAATAGAAAACATGTGGGCTTGACAAAAAAATGCAAGGTTCCCGTCATTGATTCCGAGATGCCTCTATTTTAATTAGGTTGAAATTATGAAAAAGAAGAATCACGGCATCAAAACTGAATCTGGGTTGACTAGTTAGATTAATAGGCTGTTGAACCAGTAGGGTCAGTTTTGTAAGAGTATGGCACAAGTGACTGAGCTGGATTTTATATTTTCTTTCTTTATTTTCATTAAGTTTGAAAAGACATCATTTTAATTAAAAAAAAAAAGAAAGCAACAAATATTCTATTGACTTGTGTTTTCAAATTTACAATATACTACCTCCGTTTCTTATTATAAACACTTGTTTGACTTCTATTTTAGTCCTAAATACAAAATCCCAATCTACTTTATTTTTCATATTTATTTATTTTTTTTGAGGTAGTCATTGTAATAGTTGCACATATTAAAAGTTAATCAAATAGTAATTCTAGCTAATATACATAAGTAACAAAGGTATTCTAGGAAAGACGACACCTATTTATAACAAATAACTACCTCAACTAATTTTCTTAATCTTTTCAAATTAGTTAACTAGGTTTTATATTAAGTACTGAAAATAATATTTTGTCCCAAATAATTCAGAAATAAACATTTTACATGCTCTCCAAATCTATAGGTAACGCGCCTGGAATGTGGTGGTTTTATTTTCGCTTTGCGCTTGAATCACACCATGAGTGATGCTATTGGAATCGTTCAATTTATGAGCGCGTTAGGCGAAATCGCTCGCGGTGCGCCTAAGCCTTTAACTCTACCAATCTGGCACAGGGAGCTTCTAAACGCAAGAGACCCACCACATGTAACTTGCAAGCATGGTGAATATGAATATGAAGAAGAAGCCCCAGATATCAAACAAACCATCGTTTCCTTAACCAACATGGTTCAACGTTCTTTCTTCTTGGGACCTAATGAAGTTGCTTCCATTAGCGATCAAATCCCTTATCATCTTCGTTATTCTTCTTCTAGTTTTGAAATCATCACTGCATTCTTATGGCGATGTCGTACAATTGCTCTGCAATTTGATGATGATGAGAAAGTTCGAATGGTATGTGCGGTGAATGCTCGTGCCAAGTTCAACCCTCCTTTGCTGGACGGTTACTATGGAAATGCCGTCGCCTTTCTGATGGCCGTGACCACCGCCGGGAAACTACGAAGGAATTCGTTGGGATATGCTTTAGAGTTGGTGAAGAAAATGAAAGGTGAAGTGAGTGAGGAGTATATGCACTCTTTGGCAGATTTCATGGCAACTAAGGGACGACGTTGTTTCAAGATCAAAGGGTTTTGCAATGTGTCAGACGTGAGGCGAGCTGGATTCAATGACGTCGATTTTGGGTGGGGAAAGGCGGTGTATGGTGGTTCGGCAAAGGTAGACGAAGTAGGAATCATGTATCTACCTTATAAGAATGCTCAAGGACAAGAAGGTCTAATAATAATTTCATGTTTACCTAGTGACGCCATGGAGAGATTTGTGAAAGAGTGGGATAGAATACTCAAAACTAGATTGATCACTTCTTCCTTATAATAGGATTCTCTATACCTAGATTTAAGAGTTGAGTCGTGTAAAACAATAAAATACTACCCCCAGTTTTATTTATAAGACCTCATTTGTAGACTATAAACGATGTTTTATAATTAGAACCGGAAGTAGTATTTAACTATTTAGGTCCATATATAGTGACTAGTGAGGCATAAGTATCTCTTCAATTTATTATTGTAATTTGTTCAATCTTGCTTTTCGGTATGGTTCTTAATATGTTCAAATACTTTGTAAGGGGCATGCAATATATGTTTTGGAAGTTTGTAATATACCGCTATATATTGAAACAAAATTCATGGCCCATCCCACTATTGAATTATGATTCTTTCTCTCGCTTCACTCCTATTACAACAAAGTTAGGGTTTTTTAAGGGACGACTCTTCAAACAAACGCTAAAAGTTATGCAATCCAAAAATAATTTTTAGCGTGAATTACAAAATTTTGTCACTAGTGTTGAAAGGAAAGTCCCACCTTGTGTAAGACTGAGAGTCTTAATTAATATATACACTAGCTCTGGTCCTTAAGAGTTGGATATTGAATTTGGTCATAAAGATAAGATTTCAATTCAGTTTGTTTTTTAAATTTATAATTTATAGTGCTTTCTATAGAATATCCCTACTGATTGTAAGAGGTTCTTATCAAGGGAAAGTCCCGCCTTGTTTAAGACTGAGAGGCTTAGTTAGTATATACTACTACCTCTAGTGCTTCATAGTTGGAGATTGATTTAGTCACATATATCATATTTCAATTTATTTTGTCTCTCAAATTTATAATTATAATTTGTAATGTTTTCTATAAAATATCTCTATTAATTGTAAAGGGTTTCTACCAAGAGATAGTTTTAATGCACATGATTAAAGAGGATACTTTTAAAAAATCAAAATACATTTGTTATAATTAATCAATCCAACTAATTTTTTTAATCTTTTCAAATTAGTTATTTAATTTTTATATTAAAAACAGGAGCTAGTACCTGTTATGATTAAGCTTGGACTAGCAAAATCATAAAGAGAAGAAGCGAATTCACGCACAAGAAAATGCGACTAGTTGCCCAATCAAAGTAACAATAACATGCAAATTTGTTCAACTTTTTCCTGTTGATAGTAGAAATATCATTCCTCTATTTAGGCTTCCTTTTAATTAAACCCTAAATATACTTCACAAAGTTCAGGGGCAGCTCTCATGTGTGACTTTCTTGATTCCTTCATAAATTAACTTAATAATTGCACCATATAATTAATACCAAGTCGGATAATAGTCAAATGCTCTTCTAATCTTATTTATAAATTATTTCCAACATATTTCATATACACAAAGAAAAGTTTTCAACTTTACTAACTCTCATTTAGAATTCAATAATTTTCAATTTTATCCTTATTTAACATATGTAGATTATATCCTATGAGAATAAGGTCAACTCAATACTAAATACTCCCTCCGTTCCTTATTATAAGAGACATTTGATGCTTATGACATGTTCCTATATATAAGAGACACTTAAAAGTTGTCTCTACTTTTTTGTGTTGATTTCCTATTTTACCCATATTTATTGTCTCTAATTCACACACACTCTCTCTCCCACTTCTCTTTCTTTCAATAATTTAATTGTTCTCTCTCATGCTTTCTCTCCTTATTAATGAGGGTATTTTTGGAAAAAAGATTATATTTTTTATACATTGATTGCTCTTAACTAATTTTAACTGCTTTTTTGATCAACGTAATTCGGTTATTCGTCTCTTATAATAAGGAACGGAGGGAGTAAAGAATAAAATTATATATTTATATATATATAAAATTTCTCTTCTTACCCTATAAATAGGACCAAAAAATTTCTTCATAGATTAACTTAATACTCTTTTTTTATATGTATAGGTATCCTCTTATTGGAAGCAATCTTATTCAAAATATTGTTGGACACTAAATGTGAACATATCTTTCAGTAAGGATTCAAACCTTAGAAACAATCAGACATAACAATATTCTTATTAACCTCACATAGCTAACAGGATTCGACAAGCCCAGCTTGGTATTAATTAGGTCCATATCTAGATAACCACTTAGATTGTGCCACTTGTATTAATTAGTACTTCTCTGATCCTTAATATAAAACCTATTTAACTAATTTGATTAGATTAGGGAAGTTAGGTAAGTTAGTTAATTATAAGAAATATAATATGTTTTTCCTAAAACACCATAATCATCTTTCTTAATATCCCATCTCCCTCTTTTACTTGATTATAGTTGAGAGAGACCTATAGGGATAATTTAGAAAAAATTAATAAACATGAAAAATAGGTTTTATATTTAGGATCAAAATCAACTGAATATATAATTAGATTCTATGTTAAGGACCAAAGGAGTATTACGCATCCTTATTATTTAACCTGTTTAAACCATAGTTAGTCAGGGTAGGGACCGCGTGACTAAACATGCAAAGACAAAACCCTAGAACCCAATCGTATTAGGCGGAGTTTGGGAACTACAAGAAGCATCTGAAAAAAATATTTTCATTGAAGTCGAGACAAAATTCAATCTCAGATGCTTACCTCAAACATGATAAAATTGCTTTTCGAAAGCTAATCCAAAAACTAACTTCCAACTCCTAAAAGCTCATTCAAGTCCTTTGCCCATGTTTGGTTTAGAATAATTGACTTTTTGTTCAAAAGCTACTTTAAAATTAAAACAACTTTTTGGGTTTTTGGCTTTTGGCTTTTTTCCATATTTGAAACTTTTAAAACTGACTTTTCAATAAATTATCTAAATAAATTTATGTCAAGCCAACTTTTTTGTATAAGGAACTTGATGTAAGTATTGTCCTTTTATTTTGAACAATTATATTTTAATAAATGGAGAATCAAAAGAAAATTATTGCTGTAACTATAAATCTGTCAATAGTTTCTGTTATTAAAAATTAACAGAAGTCATAATATGAGTTATTTTGAGTGAGTTGGCTGATAACTTGATGAGGTGGCTAATGACTAGATAGATAAATTTGAAAATGTGTTTAATTGTATAAAATAAAGAAAAAAAATCTGTGCCACGTGAAAAACAATTCGTTGTTGCCATCTTAATTATTTTGCTCACCTCAGTTTTCTGGGACCTAAAACAGTGGTGAACAGTGTATTATTTATTTATTTATTTATTTATTGTTTAAATTGTACATGAACACTAGTGCGTAAACTCAGAAATTCATAAACTATTAGCAGTAGTACAAATTTAGACGTGGGAATATGGGCTAGTCCGGCCCTACTGGGCTAGTGGGTTTAAAAAGGCCGGCCCTACAGAGCTAAAATTTTAAAAATACCTCAATTTGCTAGACCCGACCCTTAAGCTAATGGGCTTAGGGTCGGTCCACGCGCTTTCAGCTCGTTTAAAAAAAATACTATTTTTTATATTTCTCACATTTTTTATAAAAAAATGAAAATAAACTAATGAAATTATTAATAAAAAATAAACATGAATAAAATTAAGTCACAAATACAAAATATCATCAATATAAATATCCATCAATATCCAAAAATATCTAAAACATTCATTAAGAAAATAACAACATCCAAAAGTTTTATCTATAGTGCAAATGTATAATAAACAAATATTATCATTAATCTTTTAAAACTTCATCATCACTATAATCAATTACTCTTTTTAATAAACAAATATTATCATTAATCTTTTAAAACTTCATCATCACTATAATCAATTACTCTTTTTAATAAGTTTGCCTTTCTTTCGTAATAAAAATATCAAGTTTTTCTTCTTTATAAGAATTTCACTTTTAAATTTTCTAGTCTAGCTATTATTTTACTTTAGTTTGAAAAACATTGTTGTTGAAACTCATAAATTTCTGATTCAAATTATAGAATTACAAGTTATATAAGTATAAAAATACTCTCTTATCAAATATATATAGTTTAAAAATATCAACACATATAATATAAATCAAATCATTATTAAAGTCTAAATTAACTCATTTTTTAAAAATTTAATTGGACAAATTATTGACTAAAACTAAATAAATCAAACCATTTCGTGAAACTTAATTTTAAAATGGTAACAATAACTAAATATTTAAAATATCATTAGCAATGTAAAAAATTAATACTATTAGAATTACATAAAAGAATTTAAAAAAATAAAAAAGTTATAAAAGGGCCCAAACAGGCCAGCCCATTTAAGCCCTCGGCCCTACAAGATCAGTCCTGTAGAACCTATTTCTCATTTGAGAGAAAAAATTTCAAGCTTAACCCTCATAGTTTTTGGACCTAAACGGACTTAGCTCAACAGGTTCGGCCTATTTTCCTGCTCTAACTATAATGGGGCAGAAAAACACCAGTGCAATACAAGCACTTTTCCAACTCGCAATCACATCACTATCCCTCAACGGCGTTCTTGCTCGTTTTGGTAATTTCTTGACAGAGGGATCAAAGTCTCTGACCGTTGAAAGAATAAGGACTAAAAAAAATAGGAAAAATGACACTGAGGTCCCATTGAAGAGAAAATACAACAAAAAAGTCTCTGGAAATTTGATAATTATTTTGGAGTCCTAAAGGGACTTGAGTATCAGAAATTCTAGAATGAAATTACAATGCTGTCCTCAGGTAAAAAAGACACAAAATGAAGGAGAAAGCACCTTACCCTCTCCCTCACCCTTCTGCTACGAATTCAAGACTTTTCCCATCCTCACCACCGTGTCACCGGCATCACTCTCTTCCCACCAACATCAGCGACGTTGCTGTTTTTTAAACCACTGTCGGCTGTTTTCTTCTTTACTTGTTCTTGCTCTCTTCTTCACCGTCCATCACCATCGCTTACATAGGTTCAAGTTTGGGGAGGTTGTGTCCGTGCTCAAGTGAGCAATCCAAGTTCCCAATGTCTTCAAGGACTCTAATCAAACTCTTGCAATTTTCTTTAGTTATATGCAATTGGGGGATACCTTCTCCATGCTTGGGCAAGTCGACAAGTCAATCTTATACTATTATAGAGGC